GTGGTCCGAGCGCGCGGCCGGACAAGCCGAGACCACCCCGCGCACATAGTTCTTCCACACGTTGTTGGCCGACGCCACGGCCACGACCACCGGCTGGTTGTAGAGTGCGTTCGAGAGTCCGCTTTCACCCGACGTGCGGGCGCTAGTGCCGATGGCCAAGCGCTGCTTGGAGCATTGGTTGTTGCACGTGCCAGTCTGGCCTCGGTACGGCCACGCGCTGTCCAGACACAGTCCTTCGGCCGCGTAGTCGATGGCGTACGAAGGAAACCCGGTGTTGCAGCCGGCGCTGCCCCCCTTGGTCGAGCAGCTCGTGACTTGCTGGACAGACAAACTCAAGAGGTTCCCCGTGGCGATGCAGTGGGCCGCCTCCGCAACCCCCACCGCTGCATGTGCCCAGCACGACAGGCACTCGCCCTGATCGCGCACGGGCGGGTTGCACCGGGTCGACCAGTCAACGGCAGCTTCCCTATGGGACGCCGGGGGGGCGACTTCGACTTCGTTGGTGCCATTGAGGAATTGCTGACCATCCCGTTCAAACGAAATGGCCACGTGGCGTTTGAACTCGGCTTCGTTGAGGAGGGCGAAAGGGTTCTTCCAGCTGAAGACGGCGTCGGGGTTTTGTTCCTGCGCCAGCTCCGCCTCGAACTTGGTGTCCAGCAAGCGCTGCAACTTGTCGTCGAGGATGGCTTCTTCCGTGCGGGCGCTTTCCGTGGCGGGGGCGCGGGGGAGGAGGCCGTGTTCAGTGGCGAACGAGCCGAATTCGTTCTCCCACTCGGCCAACTCGACACCCAAGATGGCCTTTTCCGTCGACGACAACGACACGACCGACTGTCTAGCCGCGGCAGCAGAGGCAAGAACAAACGCACCAAACTTCATTGTCGAGATTGCTATTGTGTGGGGAGCGTTAATCGAATAATGAAATGTTGAAATTGGCGCGACTAGAATGTGTACGGACTCATTGTCGTGGGTGATTGTACTGGAAGGTGGTAAAAACATTGATGTCCTAAATGATACTAGAACTACTAGTAGTGTGAGACTGAATATAGTTCTTATACGACCTCGCTATGGAAGTTCTGACGCACCCAGGGATGTACCCAATCCTGAGGCGTTACAGTGTATGTCCAACGAACCACCGGATATTACTGGGAGTATGCTGCTAGAGGCAACCCTAACGCGATGGATGTCTGATTTGCTGATTTTGAGCTCCTTTCAATCGACCATATCTCGTGAAGTTCGAATTATCTCGACGTGAAAATTGCAGTGTCGAACTCTCCTTTTGAGCTTTTTCTCGTCGTCCGAATACAAATAAAGTGTTAAGTGTTTGAATTAGGGCAGATGAGATTTTAAAGTTAGGCACTCAAGCTTGGCGATCGGTGATTTGCCGAAATTTGAACTAAGTATTCACAGTATGCAGTAATCATATTTAACATATCCTACTTGATTTGAAAACAGGCGAAGGCCCCTTTAAGTTAACGTTAGTACTATTCCCAAACCATAATTATTTGAAGGTGTCAGTTGCCGCAGGCTTTTATTTTATCTAATCATATCAATTCTTCAATTCTATTAATGACAAATGACCGATCTTTCGGCAAATCAGATCCGTCATATGAAATAGAAGTCAGAAAATTTTATGAAAAGTTGGTACAGGAGACTGCGGGAACAGGCGATAGTTAGTAGCAACGAGAATTCCATGAACGTTGCCAACACAACATAATGTTCCATCACGCTTCAAGTATAGCTAGAAGCATCTATCGCTGGGATCGGCGCGGTTTGTCGTCTGACGTCGCCGAAGCATCTTTGTTGCTGTCCACCGAACGCCGCACCTCGTTGTCCAGCTCGTCGACGTCGAACATTTCGACAATTCGGCGGTTTCGTACTGTCTCGCACAAACACAGTTAATTTTTTATATGACATTTCAAAGTTATATTATTACATTATAACTTAACAAAGTTAACCTAAGTTAACGTTAACTTTGTCATAATTTATGACAAACATTGTTAACAATCCGAGAAAGTACATGACTTCGACTAACGATTTCTTAGCAATGGTTAAGCGATATGCCATAAACTTTCGCGTGCAAGTAGATCTCGATGGTGTCTATGGTAGTTGATAAGAGCTCACTAAGTTGGGACAATAGTGGGCAAGAACCGGAGCATCAAACATTCCATTTTTGAAAAATATAGCTTACTTTGTTCATCAATATCACAATCATCGAAGACTATTTGGTTTACCATCGCCATCATGTAGTACATAAGGTCACAACCGTGTATGTAAAGTTTCGCATTGATCCCCTCAATCGTTATACACTTATCCTGGCCTAAATATGGTGTTACGACGATTTCTCCAAATATAGCAATAAGTTAACAAACATTGTTTGTCATAAATTACAACATAACATAGCAATGATGCCATATTTATTTTTATCGTTTGAATGTCAAGGAATAAAAATACGTGCATTTGAATGAAGGCACACAACTCACCCATTTCCGGAACTATTATCCGGATAGATTCGAATTTCTCGCGGGCCTTCCATTCCCGGAATGGTAGCGCGCTGATCCGACAAATGTGAAGCGCAACTGGTCCTCTGAAGGGTTACGCGATCTAACAATATATTGCACCAATTGAAGTTGTATGTGGCGTGTGCTGATCAACCAGTTTCACTAAAAAAACTGTCGAAATGACCAATTCCCGCAGCCTCCAGTATTTTATAACGCGAAGTATTCATTACTCAAAATTTCAGCAAATTGAGACGTAGAATCGACAAGATCTCAATGTGTTGAAGAAATTCTACGTCTCAGATTCAAATTTGTTGATGACTTGGTCCAGAAATAGATATTTAACCTAGCGGAATTTTAAATGATAATCCAAACTCAATTAATCATTGTCATCCGAATATCCCTTCTTTTCAGGTGTCGCGTGACGGATTTTGAATTCGTCGAAAAGAATGGCGGGACCCGGATTCGAACCGGGGACCTTTGGGTTAAAAGAGCGACGCTCTACCAACTGAGCTAATGAGACACGGAACGATCTTCTTCGAAGTTCGGTCTAAGCACGAGGTATGAAGCGTTGCGCGAAGTAAAAACTGAAGATTACACACCGCCCCTGGTCGAGCAGGCGCGTTACAATTGGCGAAGCGGTTCCATAACATGTGGTTCTAGTGTCGGCCCTCGTGGAGGAATGTCTTAAAAGTGATAATCCAAACTCAATTAACCGATGTCCCACACTGGTCGTAGCCCTGGC